TAATGATAATAAGAGTTCTGGCGGAAGAGTTGAATTAGAAGTGAATGATGTTAATGAGAAATTAGCCGAAAAAGCAGATAAAAACCACGTTCATTATATAACTTCAGACGAACAGATTATAACGGACTACCATGGATATTTAACACGAAGTGATGAAGCGAAGACAAAAAATGTTAATGAAAGAAGATATAAATACATTCGTGCTAAAGGTTATGACATAAGCTGTACTGTACAGTATGATGTAGCTAAAGCACCAGAAGCATTTGGTTATACCGGTGAAATTTATGCCTCTACTTTCTCTGTTAAGGTGTATTAGTTGAACCAAGATTTACTTTGAGAGTTAAGTCAAAAATAACGTTTGAAGATGCTATTAAAAGTAAAGCTGACAAAGTTGAACTTGACGCAACGAACAAAGTTTTGAAATCTCATAAACACAACATCTCCGATATAAATGAACTTCAAACTTCTTTAGACAGTAAAGCTGACAAGAACCATACACATAAATCCTTCACTACTGTTAGAGCAGACGACATAATATTGAACTTTGACCTTGGTTCAAGTGCACCATTAGAAAATCCAAGTACAAGCGTAAAAGATACACTAAACTCCTTAAATAGTAAATGTATGAACATTGAAGGTCATGCCAGAAACTTTGAAGCACATGAACTACCAGCAATGTTAGACAAGAAAGCAGATAAGAACCATACACATGATTTCTTCACAACTGTTGGTATAGAAAGTATTGAAGGAACGGTTGAAGAAACTGGTGGGGATGCAATATATTGTAAACCTCCTAACTTTCCACAAGGTTTAACATCGGATGACGACATAACGACGATGAGAAACATTAGATGTAAAGATGTTTATGTCATGAAGGATGAACATAATATTAAATTCACTGCTCAAGATTTATATGACAGTAAAGCTGACAAGAACCATACACATAAATCCTTCACTACTGTTAGAGCAGACGACATAATATTGAACTTTGACCTTGGTTCAAGTGCACCATTAGAAAATCCAAGTACAAGCGTAAAAGATACTCTTAACAATTTAGATAAGAGTTGCAGGAATACCGAAGATCATGCCAGAAACTTTGAAGCATATGAACTACCAGCAATGTTAGACAAGAAAGCAGATAAAACTTATGTGGATGCAGAACTAACAAAGAAATTTTCGAAACCAGATACAATGACATTTACAACAGAAATTATAAATGGTGAACCAGCAACTCCATTTGAATTTGTTAGAGGTCTTCAACCAGATACTTTTGAATTTTTCTTGGATAATTCTATTGAACTAACATTACATTATAAAAGTGGAACAAATGCAACATTTCATCCGGGAGATACATTCCAAATGGTATTTAATGACATAAGTTCTTTAGAATATGTTTATAGAGTTATGAGCATATATGATTTAATATATCCTATAGGAGCTGTTTATACGTCTATGAATCCAATAAATCCAAACACTTTATTTGGTGGTAGATGGTATGAAATAGTTGACAGTTTTCCATTCTACACTAATACGCAGTCAATGAAGATGGGAGGTTCAAAGAAAATAGGTATTGAAAACCTTCCTTCACATATGCATAGGTTCAGTGGAAGAACATCTGTGGAAGGAAACCATTCACATTCAATAACAAAAAGAGGTTATATAAATCTTGCAGCGGGTTCGAATAGACAGGGAATGAATAGATATGATATCTCAGATGACCCCAAAGATGTTAGCACAGGTATTTTCTGTGGAACTGCAGGAAATCATACACATGTTGTAGCTGGTATTACAGACCCAGCAGGTAATGGAAAAGATTATATGCCTCCTTATATAACAATGCACGCTTGGATACGAGTTGGTTAAAATCTTTAACTTTACATAAATGAGCTTGAAAGAAGTATTCGAACAACATCCATGGAGGTCATTTAAGAAGTGAAAAGGTTCTTTGACAAAAATGTTGTACATCAAACAAAAATAAACCCTTACGACTACTTTTTACCAATTTACTCCAACACTCCTGACGCATACCAATTTGACACTCTCATTCAAAGCAGAAAAGGAGGACATAAACCATTCCTCATCTTCATAAATGTTAACACTCGTAAAGCATATGCGTATATAATGAGAAATAAAGGAACTCATGAAGTGTTAAGAGTTTTACAAAAGTTTGTAGCAGAACATAGCCCAAGTATTTTAACATCAGACCAAGACGGTGCATACCTCAGCAATGAAATCACAGAATTTCTCATTAAGCATAACATAACTCACTACACTACTGAAGACCATAACCATAACATACTCGGTATCATTAACCGCTTCATAAGGACTCTCAGAGATTTAAATCAAGAGCGAGACTTTACCGAAGAAACAATGAAACATTTTCTCGAAGTATATAATTCCTCAACACATTCTACAACAGGACATACACCAAATTCAATGACACAACAACAAGAAGAAAAGTATATACAAAAGAAACTAAGTCAAACACAAAATATCAGAAATTCAACACAATTTACCCTCATTCCTGGTACAAAAGTTCGTGTAGTTCTTGACGACAAACCATTGACAAAGAAACGTTTAAGGTTAAGTCGAAATTATTATATCGTAGACTCTACGCAAGGTAATGGATATCTTATAAAAGCTGCTGACGACTCCATAGCATTTTACCCTCGACATAAATTAGTCGAAAGTAGTAATGGCAAACTTGCTGAAACCATTGACGAAGCAAAGCGAGGAGTGGTTATTGAAATACTTGACTATAACACAAACGATGACACTTATAAAGTAAGATATGAAGGAGGCGTTGAAGATGTTATACCATCTAAGAACTTGAGAGAATCTAAACCAACTCATCTGGGACCATTAGAGCGGGAGTACTGGAAAGATAAAAACATGCCAGAAAGAATAAGAAAATTCTTCTAAACTTTTTCGTTGGATGTAAATCAGACAAAAATATAATTTAGGTGAAGAGGTGAGATGTCACCCGTTTTCTCACCTCTTGAATTTTCATGAATTTTCACAAAAGACCAAAAATAACGCTAATTTTATTTTTATTTATTTTTTTATTTGGTATGTAAGAACAGTAATGTCGGTCGAAGCAAAAACATTCACTAACAAATCTAATGGTGAAACATTCACAAAAGGCACTTATAACGGTATTGAAGTCTTACGTAGAGACAAGGATGGTTACATTAATGCAACAAAGATGGCAAGAGAAGCAGGAAAGTTAAACCATTTAAACAGATTTCTCAATAGTGCTAAAATGCAGGAAATTCTTGAGTTTTGGTTGAAAGAATACGGTCGAGCCAAAAGTGGCTCAACCTCAAAACAAGCATTTTATGAGCTTACTAAGGGCGTTATGAATGAATTCAAAGGTATTTACATACATGCTGACCTCGTTCATTTTGTTGCTGAATGGTGCTCTGTAAAGTATGCATTTTATGTCAAAGATATTATGGATTCCATAGACAAGAAAGTTCATGAGAAGTTAGATGAAGAAGAACTCGAAGATACAGTGGAGAATGCTAAACCTTTGTTCGAAGAAGAAGTTGGAAAAATGTGTGAAAAACAATTAGAACATGAACGTGAGATATATTATGGTTATAGAGATTCTCCATACGAACTAGACCAATGGGAACAAGAAGATTTAAAGAGAGAATTTAGAGAATATGAACTCGCTAAGATAGCATTTGAAGCTGCAGAAAAGAAGTTAAAAGTTTGGAGTCGTTTTGTACAAAAATATTGTGAGTAAATGAACTCATGGGCTTCGCCCTTGCCGCTAGCGGCTTATTTTTGGTCAAAGCTTCCACGAGAGAAAAGATTCCTCATTCGCTAAGGATTCCAAAAATGAAAAAATCATTGATTTTGGCTGAGAAAAAACAGCAAAACCCTTCTTCCACGGGAACAAAGAAATAAAGAAGAAATAAAGAAGAAATAAAGTAAATTTTTTATTTATTCCCGTGGAAGATAGAGCACTTTTATGACACTTTTTATTCACGACAAACAAGACAAATAAAGAAAATAAGAAAATACGGCGCTGTCGCGGTTCGAACCACAGACCTTGACCCCTCCATAACACCACCTTAGACCACTGTGCTACGTAGCCTGTCGACATAAGATTTTATAAATTGCATATTTGACGTAAATTTATTTCCATCTGGCTTCCCACTGCATAAGATATTCATACGTGTTTGTAAGACATTCATTAAACTTCTTTTCTATTGCATCTAATCTTGCGTTATTTTTTTCAATAGCTTGTCTGTATTCTTCATCATCTCCAGCAGTGTTTGGGTCTTCACGTTTAAAATATTCATTGTTAACCAATTTTTTATCTACAAATTTTATTAGTGTTTGATTCACTTCGTTATGATAACGGTCATATTCTTTCAATACGTAAGTGAAGACAAAATGCGTCGTACCTTCAATCTTAAAGCTTAAAGAACTTTCAACACAGTTTTGAGGGTCTGTCAGTGCGTCAATGAGATAGTATTCGAAGTCAGTCAATAATCTTTTTAAAGTCATTTCATACAGGATAAAATTTAATGTTGTGAAGAAATAGTGTTTATCTCAGAAAAAATAAAGTTAGTTTTTATTTTATTTATTTTTTTATCCTGTATGTAAGAACAGTAATGTCAACATTAGAGAACACAACAACTGCTATCGTTCATGAAGCCATAAATGAAGAATACGAATACATACAATATAACAAACAATTGAGACTCATTCGTTCAGTCAAAGATGACATGTACCAAATGCAAAGTATAATGAACGCTCTTCGTTCTACAAAGCAAGCATATCATTGGTTTGAAAACCAACAGACAAAAGAACTTTTAGAAGAATTTCCTCATATGATTGCTTCCCTCGGAAAACCGAGGGAAGAGATTCCGTACGAAAATCGCAAGAATTTGGCACCTGGTTTGAAAGGTTATTATGTTCATAGACTTTTAGTAAACGCTGTAGCAATGTGGGCTTCACCTCGTTATGCTTGTTATATTTTCATGATGTTAGATGAACTATATAAAGCAGAACGTGGAGAGATGGAAAAGAAACTTCAAGCAAAAGATGAAGTCATTGAATCCAAAGACAAAAGCATACAGAAAAGAATACCGCGTTCGGTACCAAAAGGAAAGGAAAAGAGTTATAAGTATATGATTTATACTGAAGAGATGGAAAATGAAGAAGATAGAGATATGGTTATGTTGCATTTAGTCAGAAGAAACAACAAAAGCTTTTACGACCTTGCTAAAATATATAAATCTGACAGAAACTGGTTCTATCGTGAAAACTTACCGATTTCAATGACACCGAATGAGCAAATAAAAGAAATTGTCAAAAATACTCTTCCTCAAACACACTATGACATCAAAGGTTGCACAATACTTACCTTCAAAGAAGACTTAACATTACTGAAGGAAAAAATAACAGAATATTTCGATAACTTCAAAGAGGAAGAATGAAGTCACGACAACATTAACGAAGAAGTCACGACAACATTAACGAAGAGAGAATGAGGTGAAAAAACAGACCCAAAGGGTCAGAGCCGCAAAGCGGCTAGGTGATATCTCACCTCTTCACCAAAAATATATTTTTGGTTAAATAGCTTCAGGGTCAATTTCTTCAACCATTTCACTTCCTTCGTCAATGTCAATTGAAGCTTCTTCAACCTTTGGTAAGAACTTTTGTATAACATCTTTGTTCGTTATTGTCTTCAGAGATGAAGGATAATATTTCACAGATGTTTCACCCTTCTTATATTCTTTCTGTTCGGAAAGATTCATAGCAATACTGAAGAAGTCAATGTTGGAGTTCTTTATGACAGTATAGTGTGTATCTTTGACATTCACGAAGAAACCCTTTTGTTTCAAAACTACTGCTAACTCTTGTGAAGTATAACGTTTGCGGTCAATGACGATAGCTAATGGTCTGACATACTGACCAAACTTAGATTCTTTCACAAACTTCTTGTTAAAGATAACATTAACGTTTGAAGCATTATTGAACTCATTCTTGATGGCAGTAGCGAGAGCATTGTATGAAAAGAACTTGCAATCTTGCATGTGTTTCATTAAAATAAAAATATTAAATTATTTTGAAAAATAACTTAAAAAAAATCTAATCTAATTTTTTCAAAAAATATTTTTTTTATTTCCTACTAAAGATGTATCGGAAGTTGTCTAAGTTAGAACACTCGGAAATAAAACAACTTCTTACAGAAGCTAATATAGATGTTGCAAAGCATTACGCAACAAACAAAAAAGCACTCGCTGACTTCATTAAAGACTATAATGGTGCAATAAGTTATGATAGAATTCATGAGTTCATAAAGCCGCAACGCGGCGAGGACGAAGTCCATGCAAGAGCATTTCCTTTAAATGACATTGCTATTGACTTATATCATAGACGTTCAGTACCTCATGAAGTAAGAAGAGAGATGTTTGACATAACAAATGCAAACGTTGGTGAAACAAGAAGAGCTGTACCTCATGAAGTAAGAAGAGAGATGTTTGACATAACAAAGCCGCATGACGGCGCGGGCGTAGCCCATGCAAACGTTGGTGAAACAAGAAGAAGAGACGACACACTGAAACAACAGAGAAGAGAGATGTTTAAAAGTGCTATAGAACAAGTTCGCAAAGCTAACGATGTCATTCGTTCCATTGACGACAAACCAAAAGAAGGTGAGAGATGGTTAAAGAAAGATGAAGAGAATAGGAAGAGAAATGTGAAGTCAGGCAATAGACTCATTGACTTTAACATCGAAGCTTTAGATGAACCAAACAGAGACTACTTACACAAACATTTCGGTAAGGTTTTCATGAGACTCTTAGAGAAAATTAAAATAAACTCCAACAGAGATGGATGGTATGTTATAAACTTGGTGGAAAGTATGAATGTTCTACGTTAAACCTCAATAATATTGGAACATTACTACATCAGCTCTTGAAGGAGAACTTTATATCAGAGATAGAAGCAAATGCTGCAGGTATTGTTGAAATGCACTATGACTTCTTCTTGACAAACATAAAGAATCTTACCGAAATAAAGATGTATGATTTAACAGAATATGAAGGCTTAACGATGTCAGATGTAAAGAAAGGCAAACCAAAAAAGAGACCATATAGAGATGAAAGCACACTGACAAATGACCAGAAAGCCATTTTGGAAGCTCTTAAGCAAACAGGAAACCCAGCACTTATAGAAAGCTTTTGGAAAGATAATGGTGAAAAGAAGTTTTATAAGAAGAGAAGCGGTCAGTTCTGGAAGTATCTTTGCACATTACCTATAAATCTTGAACGCTACCAAATCTTCAATGAACTGAACAAAAGAACTGCAACACTTATGACAGAGGACAATTGTTTCGTTTATGCTTGCATTCAGGCTGGAGTAAATGAAGAAACTATTGACCACATGAGAGAAGTCATTCGTGTTAGAGACTTTCCTCAAAGTAAAGTACAAGAAATTTCCGATTCAACAGGTATAGCATTTAATGTTACCATTGGTTATTTCAATGACTCAAGACATAATGAAATAAAGAGATATATACCAAAAGAATGCGAAACTGTTAGAACTATTGACTTACTTCTTGTTGAAGACCACTACATGCTAAATGAAAGATTACCAATGACAACATACTTCATTCGAAACTATATAGAAATCTTGAAGGAGTGTGGTGGAATGAACATTGAGAAACAGATGAAGATTTATACAAAGAGAGAAGATAAATATGTAGTTCGTTATGATAGAACAACACCGCTATGGGATGTTATGAAAACATTGTGGGAGTGCAAATATTTCGAACCTATTTCTTATGGAGAACTTTTCACATATACTACTGACTTATATAAACAGAACCTTGCACCATTTAAAGATTTGACATATGCTCCAAAGTATTGTGTACAACTGAAGAAGAAAGCAGAGTCAAAAGAAGTAAATAAAGCTAAATGTAAATTCATTCCTGAGCACGTTTTCTTTGCTGACTTTGAGTGTAGTACGGATGGCTTTCATAAAGCTTTTAACATCTGTTATGACAGTGAAGATGGTTCAGTGAGTGAAAGCATTTGGGGTCAAAACTGTGCAACAGAATTTTTGGAAAGACTTCCTGACAAGAGTTTAATATATTTCCACAACCTCAGTTATGACATAAACTTCATCTTAAGACACATGACAGAAGTGAAAGGAACTCCCATCATTAAAGGTTCACGAACAATGCAAATAACTGGTTTATATAAAGGACGGGCAATTATTATAAAAGACTCTTACAGTGTTATAAATAAGAAGCTTAAACTATTTCCTGCTATGTTTAACTTACAAACAGGACCGAAAGAAGTATTTCCATATAACTACTACAGCAGTGTTTTGTTAGCAAATGACAACAGAACTGGTGTCATTTCTGAAGCATGTAAGTTTATCCATGATGCAGATACATTCATGAAAAACATAGATTCCATCAAAGGTTGCAGAATAGATGAAAACCACTTCGACTTAGAAAAATATAGCACGTTTTACTGCAAACAAGATGTAAGAATTTTAAGAGAAGGTTTTGTAAAGTTCCGCAATGACTTATTGAAAGAGTTTGATTTAAACGTTTATGACTACGTTAGTATTTGTTCTATTGCTAACAAATTGTTTGAGAACAGAGTATACTTCCCGAATGGAAATCTTTATGACCTCTCAAATAAACCAAGAGAATTTATTTCGAGATGCATTCAAGGTGGAAGATGTATGTTGTCAGATAACATGAAACAAAAGAGCAAAAAGAAACTCATTGCTGACTTCGACACTGTTTCATTATATCCTTCAGCTATAGCAAGACTTTATACTTTAGAAGGTATTCCAAAAGTATTGAAGGAAGAAATGTTAAGCACAGAGTATCTCATGAGACATTTATTCGATGATGACCAAAAGGAACCCATTGGTGAAAAGTTTATGTCTGGCTTCTTTGTTCTCATTAAGATAACAGAGATTGGTATACCCAGACACTTTCATTTAATAGTTTGCGACCCTGAACTAAATCCAGAACTTAACGTTCCAAGAAGTTCAAACACTTGCTGTCTCATGTATGTTGACCATATAACATTACAAGACCTCATAAAATATCAATGTGTCAAATGTGAAGTGTTGCAAGGATACTATTACGATGGAAACAGAGATATGAGAATAAGAGATGAAGTAAAGAAGTTGTTTGAGTTAAGGTTAAAGTATAAGAAAGAAGGAAACCCCTTACAAGAAATTATAAAACTCATTCTGAACAGCATTTATGGCAAAACTATTCTATCTCCTATTGAGTCAAAAATAACCATAGTAAATGACAAAGATGCTATAAGATATGCTATAAGAAATTACAACCATATAGTGAAGTTCGAAGGTTTGGATGGTTCAGATAAAACTATTTTCAAGCTAACGAAAAGCATTTGCAGACACTTTAACTTCTGTCCACTTGGTGTTAATATTCTGTCTATGTCAAAACGTATTATGAATGAAGTATTCTGTACTGCTGAAGATATGGGTCTTCAAATCTTTTACCAGGATACCGACAGTATGCACTTATATAATGAAGACATACCAAAGCTTGCAGCAGAGTTTAAGAAGAGATATGGTCGCGAACTTATAGGAAAGAACCTTGGTCAATTTCATAGCGACTTTGCAGAAATAACACCTGGAAAACAAAGTTTAGCTTATAAAAGTATTTTCTGTGGAAAGAAGACCTACATAGACTTACTCACTAACGATTTAAATGAAGTTGCATTTCACTGCAGAATGAAAGGCGTGAAGCAAGATGTTATTGCTTTAACCGCTAATGAAATGTTTCCTGAAGCTATACAATGCTATTACAATGAAGATAAGAACATTCACATACCTGTTGGAACATATGACAAAGACTCTGAGTTCAGTTTAATGAAACTTTACAAAGCACTTTATGATGGTCAAGAGATTGCATTCGACTTATGTAAGTCATGTCAACCTTGCTTTGCTGAAAAGTTCAACTTTTCAATAACGACTAAAACAAGCTTTATTCGTAAGTTGAAGTTCTGAGGTCATGGGCTTCGCCCTTGCCGCTAGCGGCTTATTTTTGTCAGCAATGAGGTCATGAATGAGGTCATTTATTTTTGTCAGCAATGAGGTCATTCGTGATAAAAATAAAGCTAGCGTAGATTTTACAATACTGCGATGGTAGAGTTTAAGAGTTGTGCTTCAATGTAGAGACAGTCCTTCCCATCTGGAGGCAAGAACACTGGACATTTATGGTCATGAGTGGAGAACATGTCTATCCAAAACTCACGATTGAAGCCAGTTAATTTATAGTATTTAGGGTTAGGAAGTGGTGAAGTTCTTGTATGACCAATGAACTCATTTTCAACGCCTTTGGCTATATTAGAGTAAAGTATTGCTTGCTTTCTATCCCAAATGCCAGGTGTTACAATCTTTGAAAATTCATTTTTCCTCGGAAGCATTGCATCATAATTGAAAACATTCTTAAAATCATCACTTGGTTCGGAGATTTGAAATCTTATACGTAATGGATTTTCTTTCTTTTTAGCGACTTCATTGAATGGTGAGAATACAATGAATTGACAGTCATGTGTTCCATCTTCATTTTCATTAAATTCATAATGAAAGTCTATAAGTTGTGGCTGACTACCTTCTTCTTCAGTTGTGCAAGAAACTCACGTAAAGGCTGTAAAGTTTGTACTTCAATGTTGAACTTTTTCTCGAACATCTCATTAAATGAAATCATACATTGTTGCAATGTTGTATCGTCTTTAAAGTATTTGTATATGTGAATGTTTTGGGCGCTTAAAGACTGTTCGTCATTTTCTATCTCGACTTGAAGTATAAAGTCAACCTTTCTGAAAGCACGTGTTATATACATAGATGTTATGCCAATGTACTTCTCTTCATTTATGTTCACAATCCAGTCTGTTGGAAACTTAAACGTTACTCTGTTCCCCTTTATTTTGACGTCAGGGTTTTCACTACTGAACGCAACAGATAAAGGTATTTGTCTATACATTTATTCGGATAAAAATAAACCATTTACTCTTTCTTTGCTTCAGCTTCCTTTGCTTTTTGTTCTTCTTTGCTTTGCTTTTGCTTCTTCTCTAGCTTTTTTCGCCAGCAAACGTGGGTTCTTCTGTCTTCCAGCAGCTAATGCAGCTAGTTGTTTTTCACTAAGTTTTCTCTTTGGTCTCTCTGGCTTTTGTTCTTGTTTTTGTTCCTTCAGTTCGGATAAAATTTGCTCGCGAATTTCTTTCTTCAATGCTTCAACATCTATGACCCCTTGGGTCTTGTCCATATGACTTGTCTGAGTCATTTGACTGTAGATAAAAAACTAATTAAAACTTTAACCGATGTAAAATGAGCTTGTCAAAATCAGAGCGAGAGTCTATTATATTAAATGACGCAAGAGGAATACAACATCCTTTCTATTACGTAAGTCAGAGTAAAGATGGTAAAATATACGTAAGAAAAAGAAAGGTACCATTAGCGAATGCAGAGAGCGACAACATTAAGGTGCATGGCAAGGGTGAAGTCCACGAAGCCCATATAAAACCTTCTGTTCAAACTGAGCCACCAAAAGAACAAGAAGAAAAGAAGCCAGATGTACTTTCAATAACGAACCAAGAGCTTATTGCAAAGTTCGTGAATTTCATTGAAAAACAAACCGAGTCAAAGAACCCTGACCCGCCAGTGAAAGAAGTTGAGACAAAAGAGAATGTACAGTTCATTGAAAATGTCAAGAAACAACTTCCACCACGAATGCCAAGAAGAAGAGTGAGAATAATGAAGTAAATAGATATTTTTATCTGAAGTAAATACATGCAGAACGAACAGTTAAACGAATTTACTCCAGCAGAGCATATTCATCAGATTCGCTCATATTTCGATATCATAGACAATGCAGTTCAAATTGGTGACACTAATAGAAAATATTCTGACGCAAAGATTCCATCACAACCTGGAACTGCTAAAGATAACACATGGGTAACATTCAATCTCTCACCTCCTGGTGAAAATATGTTGGACCTTTACAATACATTCATTACGTATAAAATGGAAGGTCAATTTATTGTAGATAAAGAAATTGGTTCAGGTTCCAATAAAACAAACCCACCAGGATTTTGGATTGGTTTCGATGACGCTTTCTATGCAGTTGCTGGATATCAAATCCTTGCAAATGGTCGTAATCGTATATTCTCAAGACAACGCAAGAGAAGAAGCATATATAACTTCAAACTCACAAACTACCGAACGGACAATAAAGTAGATGTTTTTTAAATGACATGAAGATGTATGGAGTCATTCGGGAACATGCAGAACAGGACAAATTGTTAGTGGTCCAATTACAGCAGGAAAAATCATTTGATTTTAAGCTTCGTTTAAGAATTCTGTTAGAAGATTCCTTCCATTAGAAGCTATTCGATTTATTCCAGCTTTTGCAGGAAACATTCAGCTTAAAGTAAAGTTCAGTAGCGACGCCTTACAATGCACATCTATATCTGTAAATGATATCATTGCTTTCAATCCAACTCTTAAAGTTGCATTTGCTTCAGATTCAAATCCACCGACAAATAAATTTGTTCCATGGAATGAACCATTCACTATGATAACGAAGGCAGTAGAAGCTAGTGGAACAGTTACTATTACAACTGTAAACCAGCAACTATTTCGAACAAAGATGGATTTTAATGAATGTTTCATTCATCCAAAGTCATTCTCTTTAGACCCTAACATTTATACAGAACTTGTAGAACATTATACAAACGAGGCTTTATGTTTTCCTGTTAAAGTTATGGATTGGATTCCTATGGACGGTTCATTCTCAAAGAATACAGATAGTTCAAGTGCAACATTTACAGCAGCTTATACGCCTATTAATGTTTAAAAGTATTTGGGCACTATTTAGAAAGAAAGACAACTATTATGTTAATTTGAAACCCTAAGTTTAAATATCTTCAGCTTTCCATGGGAGCTTATGGAAATATGCCTGCAGAACCTGAAAAATCATATGGACCTGTATTTTATGAAATGGTTGCGAACGCTTGCAATACAAACAATGATATGATAGGATTTAATGAAGATGTTATGAGGTCATTGGTGGATGATGGTAGTGTGGAAACATAAATGGGATACTATGACAACACACATTTCTTATGTGGTTTTCCAACAGAAGTGGACTTTTTGCTTCCAGCAAGGTCAAACATCTACTGCTCCAATAACATACAAATTGTCTGTTAAAGGACCTATTGAACTAGCAACTGAAAACGTACCAAAGCCACTTATTGGATTTATGAGGGATTGTTGCTTTGCAATACAAGTAAGACAGTCAGGCATACAATAATAAGACTTGACGACTATAACTTAGCAACTGACGACAGTGAGGAATAAAGGATGAACGTTTATTTTAAAGCTTATAAATGAGTTCTTCATCAAGCTCTCGTGAACCTTCACCATCTATGAAACAAACTTTACCAAACGATTATGGAGCACCTATTTGAATATTTCTTACGAGCTGCACAATGGCAAAGAGCAGTCTCACCAAGGTTAGGTGTTCCACCAGCTCCTGTCAAAAATAGCATTTGGTCAAGTCCTTATATAAAATATGGTCTCCCACTAGGTTTGCTAGCTACAGCAGGAGCAGTTATGATGTTGAAAAGAAATAAAGCAAATGTTATAAATAATACTGAAGTAGCTGAAGTTAAACAAACTCCAACACCTTCGTCAAAACCAACGCCTTCACAAACAACACCTTCAATGACTCCTGAACCTATGGAAGTACAAACTCCTGTTCAAAAGTCAACTCCTAAACCGACTCCAACATTTAAACCAGAACCTACGCCTCAAATAAATCGTAAAACTCCTGCGTTTCCTTACTGAAAAAATAACGTTATTTTTATTTTATTTGAACATTTTTATTTGATTGAAATGACAAATAAAGTCACTGAAGCAATGAAACAAAAATTTTTGGTAGAATACATTAAATCAGGAGCGGTTCCAGAAGGTTTTTACGTTCATACTATGAAGGATGGTAGAGTTCAGTTTAGAAAGATAAAGCAACCATTAGATAGAGAAGGTATATTAAGGAAGATTAAACTTCATGAGGACAACATTGCTGAACTTAGGAAGAAGTTAGAAGAGTTGGAGAAAGGAAGAGAGTTATAAAGTAATGAATTCATGAGGTGAAAAAAGAGGTGAAAAAAAAGGTGAGATTTCACCTCTTCACCTAAATTTATTTTTGCGCTATGTTTTCATACGTGTGAGGGTGGTGATATCATTAATTTTAAGTTTATTTTTAAGTTTACTGAAAATTTTTATTTGGATGTAAATGACAGAACAAAAGCAACTCATTCGAATTCCACAGTATAACAAACATACATTTAAACATTTATTCTTCCTTCCTGAGCATAACATGTTCTTTCAAATACATCCGAGACCAGTTGACTTTTCATTGACTGTGTATAAAGATAGAAATAGTTATATCATTAAACCATACGATGACGAAGGTAAGTTATGTAAATTGTACGTTAAGAAGTTAGAGAAAGTTTATGGCTTCAAGTATGACTACAATAGGGTTAACACTGATGATGAAGATATTGAGGAAAATTTATGAGAACATTAGTGAAGTCGTTAGTGAGAACGATAGTGAGAACGTTTATTTTTACATTAGTGAGTTCGTTAGTGAAGTGGTTGGCGGTTTTGTAAATATTTAAGGTTAAGTTAGTGTTGTCGTTTGTGTTGTAAAATACACGTTAACGGTTTTGTAAAGTGTCAAATTCACAAGTATTGGGTAAAGTGGAACGCAGTGCCACCATACCCAAGACTTGTATACTAACTACTTTTGAGCACTCTCAATTTGTATCATTCATTATTTTCATCTGAAAAGGAATGAATCTTATCTAATCTTCATAACAATTATATCATTATTTTCGCATTTGTTTAAGTATAGATTTATTTTATGATTTTTGATCGCAATTGAAATCGCGATTTCTTCTCAATTTTCATAAATATCGCTTATGAATATTTGAATGGATCGTTATCGTCCCATTTAAAGAATAATGCATTGAAACACACACACTTCATTTCTCAATATGTCATCAAACGATTCGGGAAAGCACATCTTAATCATCAACTCTGCAGTACCTTTCCTATTGTCAAAAGGCGGTCTTCATCAGCGATTTACCGAGATTGCAACAGAGTATTTTCAATCTCATGGATGCGAAGTAAAGATTACAATGCTCAAAGATGAGTACAAAACTGAAGAAGAACTTGCTAAGATTGTCTGGGCGGATATTATCATAGTCTCTACACCAGCATGGTGCATGAGTGTTCCATGGCACTTAAAGAAGTACATCGACGAAGTTTTCTCTTCAGGATACGGAGTCTTACTGAAGAACGATGGGCGCACAAGGAAAGATTCGTCTAAGAAGTACGGAAGTGGAGGTTTATCACAGAACAAGAAGTATATGATTGTCTCTACATGGAATGCTCCAGAAGAATCTTTCACAGATCCAAATCAGCTTTTCGAAGGCAAAGGAATCGACAATGTCTGGATCTGGCTCCATAAAGCTTTCGAAACAATAAGAATTACCGAAAAAGTGACAAAACATCAAAAACAGGGAGGGGGTCTCAATTTTTATTGCTTATATTATTTTACAATATTTATATAAATACTCTTTATAATATATTTTACTATAAAATTATACCTCAGATTCAAATATTTAAAATATTATTTACATAATTATCTCAAAATTATATTTTTATATATTATTTTTCATATGTATAAATCATATAATCTATATCTATGCAAATCTCATCTAAATTTTTTTGAAACAAACCGCTACCATTTTATAATGGTCCATCTTAAATTCATCATAAATTCTGGTACATGTTAGTACCAGAGTCTTCAAATCTCAAACACTCTGGTACCAACATGCACCAGACGCGAGTTTCCAATGCCCTCGTACGATTTTCTATTAAGATCTTCTTGAATGAGAAGGTCTTCATAGAAACTCGTACGAGGGCTTCTCTTTTAAATACTCTGGTACCTGCTGGTATCGGAGTCGACTTTACAGCCCTTTCCACAATTTTGAAGCTGGGGAAAGTTTTCAAGCAATGAAAGGGAAGCTCTCGCTATGAGGTGAAAATCTAGAATTTTTACCTCATAGCAAGTAATCCTTTGTTAATTGCTTGAAAACTTTCTTCAAATTATCAAAATTTCGAGGAAAGTTTCCTTGCTTCAAAGTAGAGATGGAGCCCTTTGAGCCACTGCATATAGGTCAGTGACTCAAAATACTCCATCTCTACTAGAAATCGCCAAAATTTGGGTCGCAATCTTTGAAATGCGACGCAAGTTTTGGCAATTTCGCGAGGGACTTGCTCCATTTGGTGCATAGATTCACACTCTATGCACCAGATGGAACAATTCTTTCGCTGACAGCGGGAAACTTTGTCTGAATAGTTTAACATTCAGACAAAGTTTCCCGCTGTCAGAGAGGGAATGGAAGGGTAAGAGGTATATATTCATAATGTATACCTCTTACTCTTCCATTCCCTCAAGAAAGTTCAAAAACTTGGGTGCAATCAGAACTGATTGCACCCAAGTTTTTGAACTTTATATAAGGAATTGTTGGCTATGATGTACTGATCATGAATCAGTACATCATAGCCAACAATTCCTTCGCAAACAGTGGGAAACTTTGTCTGAATAGTTTAACATTCAGACAAAGTTTCCCGCTGTCAGGGAGGGAATTAGAGGGTGGGAGATATATAGATAGACTATAAATCTCTCACCCTTTAATTCCCTCAAGAAAGTTCAAAAACTTGGGTGCAATCAGAACTGATTGCACCCAAGTTTTTGAATTTTGTATAAGGAATTGTTGGCTATGATGTACTGATCATGAATCAGTACATCATAGCCAACAATTCTACCTTTTAACCAAAGATAATTGATTCGTATGTAAAATATTAAGCTAAAATTTCTCTTCTTTTAGTACACATTCTTCCATTTCGTGTACATGTATCATATATTAAGTACTAGTTATCTATTCTATATCCTTTATCCCAATTTAGATACTCAAAGATAATTCTTTTTCAGAAGAAAAAAAAATATTTTCTATTAAACCGTTATTTTTTCAATGTGAGTTTTCAATTTTATTTTTCCTTTTTGCTGCTCAATGCAACATCCTCCACCCGATCCTCCATGCGAGGTTGATCAAGCCATAGGATATTTAGAATATTCTCGTTTTGTTATAGCTGCAGAGCTGCATGGTAACATAAGATTTGTCAAAGACCCACAAAAACTATCAATTGGAACAGGAGTATTAATCTACCACCGATGCGAATACGAAGGCATCCCAGCAGGCTTTAAATTTATTAAAAATTTCGACAATTACATTTTTAAATCTGCAAACTTAACTCATATTCACTCAGGACCACCACCACAACATAAAAATACACCTACAAGTGGTACTTACCGTGCTTGGATTAAAAAATTTTCTCATGAATCACGGAAGTCCACTTAATGCAACACAAGAAGTCAACAAAACGCTTGAAATACCTAAAGATCATACTTGTATTCACATGACTATGAAACAAACTGCAATCAATTGAAATATTATTTACAACAAAAAGATCTTATGAGATCTTTACCAGACATATCTTTAAATCAATTTCAATCTTTACAAAACTATGTTAATCAATGGGAAGATCAACATGATGACCTTATTTATTTTGACATTCAAGGTGAAGATACTGATTTTCCAGACAAATTGGTTTTTATTTACTCTGATAATGATATGATCTCTCAAATTCATGAAAAACCACCAATTTATCACTTAGACTCTACGTTTAAATTAATTATTCATGGATTCCCTTTTTATGTATTAGCTACCAAATTTGCTAATACTCATTCTATCCCTTTGTGTTATTTTATAATATATCCAGATAATAGTGAAAATATTTCTTTTTGCTTAAGTAAATATTTTGAAACAACTCACACAGAACCTGAGTTAGTATACCTATCTTGGGTACTGCGGCACTGCGTTCCACCTTACCCAAGATAACGGTTTGACACTTTACAAAACCGTTAACGTATATTTTACAACACAAACGACAACACCAACTTAACCTTAAATATTTACAAAACCGTCTGACACATAAACGACTTCACTAACGACTTCACTAACGACTTCACAAACGACAACACCAACTTAACCTTAAATATTTACAAAACTGTCTGACACATAAACGACTTCACTAACGACTTCACTAATGAAAAAATAAACGTTCTCACTAACGTTCCCACTAATGTTCTCATTTACAAAAGTATTGCAGCGCTTCCCATTGCTGTGCTTCACACAATAGTTCATATTCTTCAGTATCGCTGCTGTCACTCCAATCGTCAGAGTCAAAATCACTGTCAAAATAAATGTATGTAAGTTTTGACAAAGCTAATAAAACACGCTTACCGTTTGTATCTATTGCTTTTATATATCTCCCATTATGTTTGTTGTCGTAAACGCTCAAACTAACTTTACCCTTTCTCCCTCGTATCTGATAGAATGTATTTTCACGAGGAACGAAGAACAAATTCTTGAACTCATGACCGTTGTAGTTTGTTATCTCAATAGTTTTCGTCATTTATATAAAAATAAAATAAAAAATAAAATAAAAAATAAACTTAAAAATTAATGATATCACCACCCTCACACGTATGAAAACATCCATTTAAATTTAGGTGAAGTGGTGAAATCTCACCTCTTTTTTCACCCGGTTTTTCACCCTGTTGAATTCATTGCTTTATAACTCTCTTCCTTGGTTTCTTTTTAGTTGCTTTCTTCACGTCTGTCTCCAACTTGACTGTCTTTCTTCTTCGTCCATAATGATACCAATTACTTCCACCAGTCAATGGGTCAAATGGTCTTTCGTAAGGGTTTCCATACATTCCATAAGGTCCGTATGGATAAACTGCTGGTGGAGAAGAAACATTTTTTTTAGTTCCATCGACTCTATTTAAATGCATTGTTTCACCTTTCATCTGGTCATTAAAGTCTTTTGCGTGTTTTGCAAACTCATCGTCCTTTCCTAAAGCATTTTCTGACTCAGTCGCAACCAAATTGGATGCTTTATTTATGAGCCCTATTTTATTTAATCTTAACTTCTTTGCAACCCAGCCTCCAATCTTCCCTTTATTTGCATCTAATGTCTTCGAAAACCTTCCTCCACTCATTTTATTTACTGCGTCATAAGCTCCAAGTGCTTTTGCTCCAAATGCTAATGCTTTTGTTCCCATTGCGCCTAAATCTGCCCAAACTACCATTTACCCCATATTAAAATCATCTCTCTTCAATATTATCTCATAAAAGTTCTCGTTACTGGAGAAAGTCAATGAAACATATGCGTTCTCACGGGCTTCGCCCTCACCGCTTTGCGGTCTATCTAACTTATTTCTATATCATCTATACGCTTCAAAATGTCTGAACAATTGCTAACATCTTCTACAACAGTTATTTCATCATGAATGACCTTCAAGAACAAGCTCATTTAATATGCTATTAAAATCATCTCAATAATGAGTCCATCCTTTCCATCTTTAGGTAGCACAACATCTTTCATTGAAGAAGGTTCGACAAGTCTTATGTTAAACTTACTGACAAAGTTTGTTATACTATAATGCTTTGGCGGCGAATACATATAGTTTGAAAGACATAATATAGATTCTTCAGCAAATTCACTTATACTGGATTTTATAACAATGTTCTCACGAGACCAAATACCACCAATTGACAATCTTGTAAGCAATCCTGCTGAACCTTCTACTGTAAACGTCGATGGTAACATTCCACGAAGGTCATCTATTGACATCTTTGAGTCACTGAATTTAAAGATTTTCTTAAAGCAATCGTCATTATCTAACCATGCAATAGCTTTGAAGTTTTCATTCGAATATACATCTGCTTCATTAAATGTAAAACCTGACTTCTTTGCAGAGATGACTTTAAAATCTATTGAGTTTGTTTCAAAATTATATGCTATGGTAACTTCTGAAGGTAATGGATGCCCTTCCGCAGTCAGTTGTTCTCTCACTACCGTTTGAAGCTTTGTGTTAAAAACTTTCATGTCATCTCCTGTGTCTAGGTTCACATACACAGCAACAGGGAAACTATCTTGCTTCTTTGTTTCATCATTATATCTCAAAACATTATAGTTCTTCAATAATATTGTTCTTCCTGCTGGAATACTTCGAACCTGTCTGATTTCAATAGCTTTCTCACCTCCTACATACTCTACCCAGTGTCTTGGATATTCATAAGTATACTGACTTTCTTGAATTTTGGTTGGTTTCATCATAACATGTTCATAGTATATCTTTATACTCTTGTCAGTTAGACTCGGTGCTATGTTCTGAATATTTCTGACTTGCATTTTTAATGGAGATAAAATGAAGCATTTAATACATGATGTAGATGAAGACATGAATGAAAGCAGTGAAAAGCTCAACAGTTCTCTCATTCTTCCTTTCAGCAAAGATTATGAATTCTGTTCAAATGGTGTTTATTTCTATTGTGGAAAGATGGGGTCAGGTAAGACATTTAATTTAATTCGTCATATACTCATAACAGAGCGTTTAGGAAACGACTCTTACTATGACCAAATCATTATATCAGCAACTTCAGACTCTATGGACTCAACAGCGAAAACATTTATGTCAAAAGTTCAAGCCTCAGTCGTTAAAGTTCCAGACAGTGAACTCATTGAATTTCTTCAACGTTACATTCGACGTAAGAGGAAATATTATGCCATCGTAGAGTTCATACAGTCAGGAATGCAAAAGACTTCTGAGGAGATGGAAAGAATTATTGACAAACACCACTTACGTCAATACTCAGGAGTTTACGATATGAAACGACTTACAAACTACATTCTATCAAAACTTTCAAAATACCCCTTCAAAAAGTATCCTTCAAACACTCTGCTCGTTTGTGACGACTTCGCCGGAAAAGGTTTAGTGTCAAAACCAGACTCACCATTAGCTAACATCATAACTAAAGTCAGACATTACCATTTAACTGTAGCAATACTTATGCAAACATGGCGTTTTCTTGCTTTAAACATAAAACGTCTCATAACTGACTTCGTTATCTTTCAAGGTTTCTCACGTTATGATATTGAACTCATTTGGAAACAGTCAGGTATAACATTACCTTTTGAAGAAATTTGGGAAGCATATAAGTCTCTCATCTCTCCTCGTTCATACCTTGAGATTCATATCATGACTAATACCATTAAAGTCAAAAATATTCCATGGGAACGACCAACATTGTTTTAAAGTTTAACCTTCAATTGACTGATGGTAAACAAATTCCATGCATCTCTGTCGCCATTTCTGTTAATATTTTTGCTGTCATTCATATCATCCACTTCCCCATCCGTTAGCTTTTGAGGATATGCGTTAGAATAGCTGTTCTTAAATGAAGGCTTTTCACCTTTGAGAGCATAAACTCTATAACTTTCTGCATACTTTATGTTTGAACCTCCTGAGCCATCATTGACATAAATTTTTATAGGCTTCCACCCTTTGTTCATATTCCTGCTTCTTCCCTTTGCTCTTTTGTTCAGTAGTTCTACATCTTTATACACAGCACCTGTCTCAGTGAATTCAACAATATTTTCATTCGTTAGCTTTACATTCAAACCCTTGTCGAGTATATTGTTCATTTCATACATATAAAAGGTTTATATTCTATATGAAATGAGAAGCAAATCCATCTTAGCTGGTGCCGTTAATGTTCCAATTGAACCAACATCAAATGTTGACTCACGAACGACAAACAATATTGTCATAAAGAACTATAGTTCGGAGTGTTTGAAAAAAAGAACCAGATCTTAAGTCGGTGAATTTAAACACAGCTTCAAACGCTAACGCTACATCAGATGTTAAGTTAGAGTATCCACCACTGGACCAAGTTCTTTCAAGAGAAGCCAACGACAACCCTTACACAAATGTTCAAACAAATCCTTCAGATAACGTAGACCATTACCTTCTTCAGTTATACCAAACAATTTTACTCAAAGACGATAAGAAGCTTTTGACAAATCTTATAAGCAAGAACCAAATAATTCTAACAAAGGAGGACCTTGAAAATGTTATCTCACGAATAACAGGGAAACAATGTGTCATTGACTATCTCGACCCTGAAATCGAATGCTGTGGTCAAACGCCACTATTCATGAAAATAGGTAACATCCGCATCATTGAAACACCAGGAACTACAGGAGTTGAGTTTAAGTATAAATATTCGAACGAGTATACAAAACTATCTACTGACTATAAGCTTTGTTTGAAATATGTTTTAGTAAATTAAAGCAGTCAGGAGGGCTCTTTGAGCCCATCTTGGCGCTTTGCGCCGTCAGTCAAAAAATTTCAAGTTAACAACTTATAGTATCTGTCCAAAACTTCTTCAACAGTATCGAACTCATCTTCATAATGCAAACCTAATCTTATTGACTTGGTACAGTTTTCACTAACACAATATTTTTCTGTTCTCTTGACTGACATAACTAACTCATTTGTTTCATCAAACAGCAACAACCAAAGTTCATGACCTAATACATAACATTCATACTTTATATTTTTAGCTCTGAGTTCTCTTGTAAGCTGTTGCATTTAATATTTTCTAAAAAGTCAACTTCAACAGTCATTCGCACTGGTGCCTTCAGTTCTACAGGCTCTCCTTGAAAGTCAACAAGTCTGAATTGCATGTCTTTCAAATTATGAGGACTAATGCGAACCCATTTACCTAAATGAGTTGCTATGACAGGAACGTTTGGAATGAACATTGAATTGACTGCATAACAGAAAGACTTATATTCAACTGAACCTTTACTATTAACTCCTGAAATACCTGTGACATTAGCTATTTTTGACTCAATGTACAAACAATTACCATAACATACGTATGGAACAGATTTCATCTCAATCGTTTTGTCAACACTTTTCAAAGGAAATGTCATATGGTATGCACCCAAAAGAAGTTGTACTCTATGACTCATTCTTGGTATCTTAAACTCTTTCTCGCTGCTGAACTTCAATGTTCCCTCAGAAGAGAGTTCGACATCTATGTTGTCAATAGTTTCTTCATTTATGAGAGTATCTATGACTCCAGCAATTTTATCTATTCTATACCCAGCTCTATTAGGAAATGTTATAACACTTCTTTTGTCATCTATTTCAATCTCTATGAAATCTGTTTCATCTGTTATGACAAAAGTTGCGATAGTATTGAAGTCAACAACTCTGAAAGCAAGCGCTTCATTCTGAAGACCTAAGTTTGTTTGTAGCTTTACTGTCCCGTATTCGTTTGGGTCTGTACTTTGCAAATAGAACAACATTTTATTCTCATTAAAATATGACTATTGCTGCATATGCGTATGAAACAAATGAAGCAAGAAGAGCACATGAACTAGTAAACGAAAACTCAACTTTAACCATTGAAGGCAATGATTTAGTCATTGACGATGGAAAAACTAAAAAAGTCATTGATTTCGATACTTTTAACACTTATGACCCATTCATTACAACAAGCAAGGTTCCCATCATAAATGATGGAACGGTGCAATATATAAATTCTACAGTAGATGCCTCATTAGTGAAAAAAATAACGTTATTTTTATTTAATATTAATTTTTTTATTTGATTGAAATGACGACTAAAGTCACTGAAGCAATGAAACAAAAGTTTTTGGTAGAATACATTAAATCAGGAACTATTCCAGAAGGTTTTTACATTCATACTATGAAGGATGGTAGAGTTCAGTTTAGAAAGATAAAGCAACCATTAGATAGAGAAGGTATATTAAGGAAGATTAAACTTCATGAGGACAACATTGCTGAACTTAGGAAGAAGTTAGAAGAGTTGGAGAAAGGAAGAGAGTTATAAAGCAATGAATTCAACAGGGTGAAAAACCGGGTGAAAAAAGAGGTGAGATTTCACCACTTCACCTAAATTTAAATGGATGTTTTCATACGTGTGAGGGTGGTGATATCATTAATTTTTAAGTTTATTTTTTATTTTATTTTTTATTTTATTTTTATATAAATGACGAAAACTATTGAGATAACAAACTACAACGGTCATGAGTTCAAGAATTTGTTCTTCGTTCCTCGTGAAAATACATTCTATCAGATACGAGGGAGAAAGGGTAAAGTTAGTTTGAGCGTTTACGACAACAAACATAATGGGAGATATATAAAAGCAATAGATACAAACGGTAAGCGTGTTTCATTAGCTTTGTCAAAACTTACATACATTTATTTTGACAGTGATTTTGACTCTGACGATTGGAGTGACAGCAGCGATACTGAAGAATATGAACTATTGTGTGAAGCACAGCAATGGGAAGCGCTGCAATACTTTTGTAAATGAGAACATTAGTGGGAACGTTAGTGAGAACGTTTATTTTTTCATTAGTGAAGTCGTTAGCGAAGTCGTTAGTTAGTATGACTAAGTCGTGTACTGAGGCACTGCGCGCCTCCGTACACCACTTAACCTTAAATATTTACAAAACCAGTAACGTATATTTTACAACACAAACGACAACACTAACTTAACCTTAAATATTTACAAACCGCCAACCACTAACGACTTCATTAATGTAAAAATAAACGTTCTCACTTACAAAAGTATTGCAACTCCTCCCATTGCTGTGCTTCACATAACAGCTCATAATCTTCTGACTCACTTTCTTCTTCATATAGGTCAAAATCACTGTCAAAATAAATGTTAGTAAGTTTTGACAAAGCTAATGAAACACGTTTACCGTTTGTATCGTATGCTTGTATAAACTTTCCATTCTTCATTCCTTCATAAACGCTCAAACTAACTTTACCCTTTCTCCCTCGTATCTGATAGAATGTATTTTCACGAGGAACGAAGAACAAATTCTTGAACTCATGACCGTTGTAGTTTGTTATCTCAATAGTTTTCGTCATTTATATAAAAATAAAATAAAAAAAAAAAAAAATAAACTTAAAAATTAATGATATCACCACCCTCACACGTATGAAAACATCCATTTAAATTTAGGTGAAGTGGTGAAATCTCACCTCTTTTTTCACCCGGTTTTCACCCTGTTGAATTCATTGCTTTATAACTCTCTTCCTTTCTCCAACTCTTCTAACTTCTTCCTAAGTTCAGCAATGTTGTCCTCATGAAGTTTAATCTTCCTTAATATACCTTCTCTATCTAATGGTTGCTTTATCTTTCTAAACTGAACTCTACCATCCTTCATAGTATGAATGTAAAAACCTTCTGGAATAGTTCCTGATTTAATGTATTCTACCAAAAACTTTTGTTTCATTGCTTCAGTGACTTTATTTGTCATTTCAATCAAAGGTGAAGCTAGCACAGCGATAATGGATTTCATGACTTTTTAGTATTTCATGCAATCTTAACAGATAGCCTTACAAGTACTTCCAGTGTCCCTAGCTGTCCCTCCTTTTTATATAACTCCATGACATTTATAATCTCGCGAAACTTAACAGGTAGCATAACAGATTAAAATCAGATGAGGTTTTGAACCAAAATTTCTAAGCAACGTTGTCAAGGATTTTGAGGAACTAGGGACAGAGTGTGGCAAAGTCCAAGATTTAATTTATCTTCATCTGTTTCATCAGCTATCTCATCTAATATGCCAATATTTTATTCATAACTCGTGGCAAACTCACTCACTTTCATTATGTTCATCTGCATGCTTCATCTGATAGAAAGTATGACTTTCATTAACTCTGTGAGATAATGAAAACTACTAGGGACAGAGACCATGGCAAAGTTTATGACTTTCATTATTTCCAGAACTTAATGAAAACTACTAGGGACAGAGACCATGGCAAAGTTCATGATTTAATTTATTCTCTCACTAACAACAAATACAAAACTCCAACACTAACAACAAATACAAAACTCCAACACTAACGACAAAAATAAATGTCCTCACTTCTTAA